AATCCCCACGCAATTTTTTTTCCACCCCTCTTAAAATTCAACAACACTCTCTAACTTTTTTTTGGTTTTTAAATAAACTAAATTGGAAATTAAACCAAAAAAAAAAAAAAAAAAAAAAAAAAAAAATAAAAAAGACGTTGATCTTTTGTATCACTGTAATGCTGTTCAAATGGCTCAGACTAAGGTTGTCAAGAACAAAGGGGCCTAACAGAAACCTCTTTAAAGTAAATAGTATAAATTAAGTAAAGGAAAGACAAGTAGAAGTGAAAAAAAAAAAAAAAAATTTTTACTAAATCATTAAAAAAATAATAATGTGGAATAAGAATAGGGAAAACCAACCTAATGTGGTGAGGTCAAATAAAGACTAAGTATTTGAGAAAGTAAACAAGAGAGTATTTACGAAATGTTATAAAGGAAAAATTAGAGTTAAGCTATATTCGCATTGCCAAGTTTGTTCCAGTCTGTCTTGGTAAGCTACCGATTAGTTCACATGGTTCACGATTCTCACCTTTAGGTTCTATTATCAAAAGCTTAACGGCGAAGCTGCAGAATATTTTATAGCTGAATTTAGTAAAGATACCTAATGTTCCGTGCTTTCGAAGTGGTGGAACAATAGGCCACGATAAGGTGTGTTAGAACCCAAATCATTAGATAAACTTAAGCTAACTGGAAGGTAAAACATGGGAACTATACCACACGAAAGAGGATCCCAAAAAAGTAAAATAAATGCAATGAAACTGAATCCGTGCCAAAGCTTAACTTACCTGGTTGCGGGAGCAGAAGCTCACCTGGATCGAGTTCAATCTGTAGTTTAAAGTGCATCATCTGAGTTTGAGCTCAGAGTGCCGCCAAATGATTAGGTGCGTGAGAGCCTTAGCCGTAGGAGAGTCTAACACTAAAAGTTAAAAGGTACATGAAATAAAACATTGAATGAACAGAAAATAAGGCAGCGTAGCAACAGTAGCAAGAAGATTCACCTTGCCTTGCTTAAGAGGGAACACCAAGAGCAAACGAGCAATACTAACTATCAATACTAACTATCAATACCAACAAAATACTAACGAACGAAACTAACGACCGAAAAGAAACGAAACTAAACTAATACAGCAATAAGCAATAGAACAAAATAAACTATAGTACAACTGTCCAAAATAAGCTCAGCAATTGCTCCAAACAGCACCACTCTGCAACACATACTGCCATCTCGACGAGCCCAGCCCAGGCGACCACATATCTGCAGCCCATACCCGCCATCTTGACGAGCCCAGCAGAGGCAGCCTACCTACCACTACCACTACTACCTCTACCTCTACCTCTACCACCACCCGTGGGCTCTTTTCTTTTTCTGAATCTTATCACCACCGTATCACCACCGTATCACCACCATATCACCTCGGCGTGCACATACCGATTACTGATCCCATTTTTCTGTGCCTCAGCCAAAGTGAAAAAAAAAGCAGCACATGCCACAGGCAAACTGGCAACGAGACACCAAGAGACCCGATTGAAGCCGCCGTTTGAGTATGACGCCTCCCAGAATTAAAAGGTCCATCTCGGTGGACTCAATTGCACCCACGCTCAGCTCATTGTTCAGCAGAAAGAGGTCCAGAAGATCGTTTGAGTCGAATGAGACCCCAGTAGAGACACCGCAGGAATCCTCGGCAGGGGAGGAAGAGAGCAACGAAGATAAAAACTCGGATGACGACGAATACGAATCAGTAGACGAACTGAAAACCAACGGAGACAGGGTCGATATTCCCCTCCCAGTTCGCAAGAGAAGAAAGACCGTGAAGACGGCCAAGCAGATCGAGTTCGAAGAGAACGAAAGAAAGTTGGATGAAGAGTTGCCAGAGGATCTCCGCAAGTTTAGACCCAAGGGCTACAAGTTCAACATCCCGCCTAAAGACAGACCAATCCGAGTATACGCCGATGGGGTTTTCGACTTATTTCATTTGGGACACATGAAGCAATTGGAGCAGGCTAAAAAGTCATTTCCCAACGTACAGTTGGTTTGCGGTATACCTTCAGATATTGAGACCCACAAGAGGAAGGGGTTGACCGTGTTGACCGATCAACAAAGAATCGAAACATTACAGCACTGTAGGTGGGTTGACGAGGTCATTCCTAATGCGCCATGGTGTGTGAATACAGACTTTCTTCTCAAGCACAAGTTGGACTACGTTGCCCATGATGATCTTCCCTACGCATCGACAGACTCGGACGATATCTATAAGCCCATCAAAGAAATGGGGATGTTTTTGACTACTCAGAGAACCGAAGGGATCTCCACGAGTGATATCATTACCAAGATTATCAGAGATTACGACAAATACTTAATGAGAAACTTCGCCAGAGGGGCTACGAGAAAGGAGTTGAATGTCAGTTGGTTAAAGAAGAATGAATTAGAATTCAAAAAGCATATCAACGACTTCAGAACATACTGGAAGAGGAATCAAACGAACATAAATAATGTCAGCCGCGACTTGTATTTTGAAGTTAGAGAATACATGAGAGGAAGGAAATTCGATATGGGTTCGTTTTTGGAGAACGCTTCTCTCAATAGCGAAAAGTCTTCAGGGTTGGATTCAATCGCATCGTCAAGAGGCTCGTCTCCTTTGACTGATTTTGCTGCTAAATACATTGGAAACGCAAACAAGGAGCTAAATAGAGAAAGAGTACAGAAGAAGAATCTTTTTGCTAATGTAAAGGAATGGATGTTGAGAGATGATTCGCACGATGAGTACAGCACTAACGACGAGATGTCCAAGGATCCAACTGTGATGGAGCCAAAGGTTCCAAAGACTAGGCAGGATAATGCTAAAGCCAATGCTAAAACGGGGGCCAAGGCGGGGGAGGAATTGGACCGTGAGGCAGAGCCTGATGCAGAGGAATTAGCTACCGATACACCAAAGGGTAGAAAAGCCCCGAGTTCACCTAGAAAGGTGAGGAAAGTTCCTAACAAGAAGACCAAAAAGAGCTCCTGAGAGCCCAGTTCAAGCAACACCCCCGCTCATGAAGGAAGTATGGATTGAAGAGATACACAAGAAAACCCCCCACTTAACTAACCCACTAAACTAGCATATTATTGTATAAGGTAATACTACAGCGCTTGTAAGAATACTTTTATAGGCATCCAGAACACGTTGCCTAAGTAGCAGCAACGTACCCAAATACTCAATCTTCTGTACGTCTTCACATCTCTTCCATTATCATAGTCACACCATCGTTCTCCACTCTCTTTAATTCGCCGGGTCTTGCTTCTCTTCCTTCAACGTAATCACACCCTCCTTCTACGTCCCTCTACCCTTCAGTACTCCACCTTTAATTTTTCACTGCGCTCGAAATAAAAAAAAAAAAAAAAAAAAAATCAATTCACTCGGAGTGTGCCACCTTCTTTATCTGGGGTTGAGTGGTATATAGTCGATTAAGTTCACTGTTCAAATCCGATTCGTTTCAAATTTTCCTTTAACTGTTCACTATATTAGCTAGATTTCCGATGTCATTGTCTTCATCTTCAATTGTCGAAGGCACAGGTATACTATCACAGGATCAAGTGCAGCGGTTGTCGCTCGAGCAGATCCAAGAGCAATTGAAATTGCACCAGGATGAATTCTTCCACCATTTGGTAAATGAACAGCAGTTTGGTCAGCATATGGATTTGAAGCTGAGTAGTCAAGGCCAAAACACGGGCTCTAGTTCCTCCTGGAGCTTCACACAGGGCCTCCTTCTTGGCCAATTGAGTGTGTTTGTAGTCATAGCTATCTTTATCAAATTTTTCGTATTCGCAGACCAGACCAATAACGTCACACTGTCTAAGTCGAGCAATAAGACTAGTAAAAAACCCAAAGATTTATCAGGAATAATAGTGAAACGTAATAAGAAAGGTGGTAAGTCAAGAAGCTACAAAAAAGGTCTCGCCGTGGATGGAAGCACTGACAACGATGGAGATGACTCTGAGTTTGGAGATGACGCTGATGATTCCAATTCGTTTTCCTCTAAGATATCTTCTATACTTGAAAAGACATACTACGATGTAAACAACCACAATCCTGAATCTTTGGATTGGTTCAACGTACTAGTTGCTCAAGTGATTAGTCAATTGAGAAGTGAAGCTTTGTTGTCGGACAATATCTACCACTCATTGAACGACTTCTTGACGACTCTGTCCCTTCCAGATTACTTGGATACTATCAAATTGACTGAAATTGATGTTGGTGACGATTTCCCCATCTTTTCTAACTGTCGTATTATGCATAGCAAAGATGGTACTGGTAGACTAGAAGCTAAGATAGATGTGGATCTTTCAGATACCTTGACTTTGGGAATTGAGACTAAACTTTTGTTGAATCATCCTATGCCATTGACTGCGGTATTGCCGGTGCAACTCTCTGTCTCTATAGTGAGATTTTCAGGGTGCCTTACTGTCTCATTAATCAATACGAATGATCAAGAATTCATTGACCTACAGGGAAATTCTAACTCCAAAGGTAGTGCTACTAATGAAACGCCGGCAGCGCCTAATTCTTCCTCGCCACGTACTGCTGTAGATCGGGGTGTTGCTGATTCTATTGATACTTTAAGAAATATACCCGGCACATCTTACTCAAGTGATATATCACCTTCCCCATCAACTCCATTGAACCAAATAACCGCAAGCGAGAGTGTAAATCGGAAAAGCTCGAAATTCACTACTAACAGCAGTGATGAACCAGCGGGTACTGCTCTTATGTTTCTGTTCTCTCCAGACTATAGACTAGAATTTACTGTTAAGTCTTTGATAGGTGCAAGAGCAAAGCTTCAAGACGTTCCCAAGATATCTTCACTCATAGACAGTAAATTGAGGAGCTGGTTTATCGAAAGATGTATAGAGCCAAGGTATCAAGTGGTTAAGTTGCCATCTCTTTGGCCCAGAAGTAAAAACACAAGAGAGCCAGTGAATTCGAATAATAGCGCTGTATCCAATTCTACTACTAACGGTGCCAGCAATAACGATAACCCCTTAGAATCTGAAATACCCTCTAAATAAAGAAAATGGCTGACGAATCTGTATCATTAACTGATAATTCATACAAATTGGTAAATAGATTCTTTTCTGCCTACAAACTCTTGATTGACATAAATTATATATTCATAATTCGAAACACTTTTGATGAAAATAAAAAGTAGATGGGGAGAAGGTATAGAAGAAAACAAAATGGTATAGAACTGAAATAGTAAATATGTGAATATCAGGTTCAAATTGTATAAAAGGCTTGAACGTGAAGAAAGCTATAACACATCTGAAAATTGGGTATAAATCTCGATATAATCGATCTAAACTTGGAACGTAAATTCATCCGTTGAAGGATATAAAATTCAATTATGTTTTCGAAACGGAAATTAAAAACAAAGTATGATGTGGAAAGGCATTCAGAATTGGGTATTATTGAAGGCCAAACTTTTCAATATCAAGTGTTCTATTAACAGGATTCTTAGATGTCCTTTTTGAATTACTTAAGCTGATAATGTACATTAACAATTCACTTAAATGTTAAGTAAAATGAATACTCCTGCAAATATGGAGCCAATGGATGAAGATAACCTTTTGGCTCCATTTGCAGCAGTCGTTACAGCAGGAAGTACTCCAGTAGGTGAAGAAGAAATTGTTTGCGTAATTTGAGTGGTTACTTGAGTTATTGAATTGGAAGTCGCTGGAGGTAAATAGGTATTTGGAGACTCAGTTTCAGTAGCTGGTTGAGTCTCAGTTTCGATAGCTGGTGGAGCCTCAGTTTCAATAGCTGGTGGAGTCTCAGTTGTGATCTGAGTAGGAGGAACTTCAGTTGTAAGGGTTTCAACCTTCTTATGCTCTGATTCTGTTGCAGTTGGTATATATTCAGGAGGAGTGGTTCCTTCGGCTGACTTGGTAATTGGGCAATAAGTGGTGTACGTTGTGGTTTCTTGGGTAACTATAGTGTATCCTGTAGTTTTTGTGACTTCAGTGCAACCATTATCTTTACACGTCGTGATTGTAATACAAGTAGTACCAAAGTGCGTAGTGGTAGTGGTAGTTTCAGGATAAGTAGTTGTTGGCAAAGATGAGGAAGAAGCGACTGTACTTGGACTAGGGCTCGAGCCAGGTGTACTGGAGGTGGAATTCCAGTAAATTGAGGATGAGAAAGTATAACTACTAGATGGAGGAGCACTAGATGATGGAATAAATGAACTACTCGATGGTGGGATAGTCGAACTACTCGATGGTGGGACACTTGAGCTACTGGATGGTGGAATAGATGAACTACTTGACGGTGGGATAGTTGAACTACTTGATGGTGGAACAGTCGAACTACTCGATGGTGGGACACTTGAGCTACTGGAAGGTGGTGGCACAGTCGAACTACTTGATAGTGGGACACTTGAGCTACTGGATGGTGGGACAGTCGAACTACTGGATGGTGGGACAGTCGAACTACTTGATGGTGGGACAGTCGAACTGCTGGATGGTGGGACACTTGAGCTACTGGAAGGTGGTGGCACAGTCGAACTACTTGATGGTGGGACACTTGAGCTACTGGATGGTGGGACAGTCGAGCTACTGGATGGTGGGACACTTGAGCTACTTGATGGTGG